TCACCCTCAACTGCCCCAAGAAGGAGCAGAGAAGTTTAGGAGGGGAGGAAGGAGAAGACTCAAGGCCAAGCACTCAACTCACCCAGCAGCTCTGGCTTCTTATTGGAGAGGATCTGGTAGAAGATGTGGTAGTTCCTCTCAGCCTTCAGCTGGAAAATTACCCGGGACTTTTCCAGGAGGTCTGGGGTGGGGACGGAGAGAAAGAGGGTGGAGGTTGGGGTTAGGAGATGGATTGAGACATGTAGAGATGGATGGAGACATGAAAAGATGGATGGCAGGATGAGGAGATGGAGAAGGAGGGATGGCTGGATAGTGGGATGAGAAGACAGAGGGATGAGGAGGTGGAGGTGGAAGGTCAGATAGTGGGATGAGAAGATGGATGGATGGATGGATGGATGGATGGATGGATGGATGGATGGATGGACAACAGGATGGACAACAGGACAATGTCTCATGAATCCATCAACCATGAACGTAGATGGAGGAATAGACATGTGGAGAGGGAGGGAAGGAGGAAGGGAGGGAAGGAGGGAGGGAGGCAGACACAAGATGGAAGGACAAAAATATTGGAGACAGAGGATCAGATGGATGGTGGGTTAAAGAGTAGGAGATGGAGAGGTGACTGGATGGAGTGATGGATGAATGGATGGATGGATGGATGGATGGATGGATGGATGGATGGGTGGGTGGATGGATGGGTGGATGGATGGATGGATGGAGTTCATGGATGGATGGATGGATGGATGGATGGATGGATGGGTGGGTGGATGGATGGGTGGATGGATGGATGGATGGAGTTCATGGATGGATGAATGGATGAGTCCATAGATGCATAAGTCCTAGCATGTATGAATAAATCCATGAATAGATGAGTCCATAGAGGGATGGATGAAGGACTGCCAGATGTCCTCTCATGGAGCCTCTCAACCCACTCACAGGTCTCAATGTCAGCTGATGCCAACTTCCCAGTGGCCCCAAAATGGATTCGGATGAACTTCCCCTGGAAAAGCAGTGGCAGGAGGTAGAGGTCTCCCAGCAGATCCCACACCAAAGACCCCATACCACAAACTCTGCCCCATAGATCCCTCCCCCAACACTCACGAATCGCGATGAGTTGTCATTGCGGAGGGTCTTGGCATTGCCAAAGGCCTCCAAGGCAGGGTTGGCCTGGATGATCTGGTCCTCCAGGGTGCCCTGGTGGGATGGAACAATCCTGAGTGTGGATACCATTGGGAATACTCACTGCTGGAGATGAGGGACCTGAGGCCCCACCTTGCTGCTGTTGGTCGCCTCTTTCTTGCGGTCGCCAATGGCAGCAATGCTGGCAAAGTACTGGATGACCCTCTTGGTGTTGACTGTTTTCCCCGCCCCAGATTCTCCGCTGGAGTGGCAACAGTGAGATGTTGGAGAACATCATGGTGGCTCCTTTATCACACTCCAGCACTGTGGGGCAGCATCAGGTGGGGACTGACTTACGTGATGAGGATGGACTGGTTTTCTCGATCTGCCAAGAGATGAAAAGAGTCATGTGGGACAATGTTGGGAGGCATCTCTGGCATCTTGGGATTGGGTTTGAGGTTCTCCATCCTCCCAGGTGAGGATGAGGTCTAGGTCAGGACCCACTTTTTGGGGTGGGGCCTTCTAGTTTGAGTCTACCTGTCAGCATGTTCTGGTAGGCATTGTCAGAGATGGAGAAGATGTGGGGTGGAGCTTCACTCCGCTTCTTTCCCCGGTAGGCAGCCACCACCTCAGCGTTGTAAACAGGCAACCACTTGTAGGGGTTGACAGTCACACAGAAGAGCCCAGAGTAGGTCTGGAGAAAGGGTCAGGTGGGTCAGAACCTGGAGGTACCACCCCCCTAGATGGGAACATCCTAGATCTAGGTGGCCCAAGGGATGTGGTGAAGGGGCATCTTGAGTTTGGGGGGCTGAAAGGGGGTGGAGAAGGGACATCTTGGGTCTGGGTGTCCCACAACATCCAGAGATGGGACATCTTGTGTGACCCAAGGGATCCAGGGGGGACATCTTGTGTCCTATCAAGGGGGCTATTGAAGGGGATATCTTGGTTCTAGATTGGGTGATGGGACATCTCAGGTCTAGGTGGCCAAAATGGTTCAGGAGAGCAACATCTTGGGTCTGGGTGACCCAAGGGGGCTGGAGAAGGGTCACAAGGTTCTAGGCGTCCCAGAGTCCATGGAGAAGCCACACCACCAGGTTCTAGGTGGCCCATAGACTCTCTGGAAGGCCCATCTGGTTCTAGGTTCCCCAAGAGTTTTAGGGAAGGGTCACTAGGTTCCGTATACACCTTAGGCTGTGGGGAAGACCCTGCCCAGTTCCCAGGTGCCCCAGATGCTTGTGGGAGGACTCACGTAGATCAACCAAGAGGCGTAGCGCTCCTTGAGGTTGTAGAGGACGGCAGGCTCATGGAGGAAGGTCAGCATGGCCATGTCCTCGATCTTGTCGAACTTGGGGGGGTTCTGCTGGTGGATGTCAGCCTCCTTGACTGTCATTGTCTAGGGGGGATGGAGGGACATGGAGGTCAGAGTTGTAGAGTGTCCCATGGTTTGGAGGCACCCTGTAGGTTGGGAGTGCTCTGTGGGTAGGGGCTCCTCCACGGGTTGGGGGGGAATCTCCTATGGGTTTTGGGGCACTCCCCCTGAGTTGAAAGGTCTTCAATGGGCCTAGTCTCCCCTTCCCACTTTACACCCCCAAAAACCTTCAATTCCCCTCCCTCCTTTAACCCCTCCCCAATTAACTCCACCCCATTAACCCCTCCCTCCCTAACCCTTCGTCCCCTGCAGCTTCCCATCAACCCCTCACCCCCCATGACCCCAACCCCCTTTCATCTCCCACCACCAGTCACCCCCCATGCCTTCACCCTCATCAAATCCTCCCATCCTTAACCTCTCCTCTCATTATCCCCTCACTCCGATTAACCCTTTGTCCCCCGTGACCCCTTCAACCCTTGCCCTCACCCTCCTCTACCCTCTCAATTGCCCACCTCTCCCAGCTCGGTCTGGACGGTGACCTCCCCACCTTGGCGCCCCATCACCCGCCCCCGCACATACTCCTCACGGGGGTGGGGGACAAAGCACTCGCTGCGGGGGTCGAAGGGCCTGGTCTGCGATGCCAGCCGCTCTCGCTCCCCTGGACGCAGGAAGGGAGCTGCCGCCCCCAGTGCTGCCAGCACTGCATCTCCCATCCTGCTCCACACAGACAGGGTCCTCACATCACCTGGGGGGCTGTGGGACTCTGGCCACGGGGTCTACCCCCTCACCCCATGGCCTCACATGACCCAATGACCAGAGCCCCATTGCCATGCATGGACTCCCATAGCTGTGCCCAGACCTCTATAGCTACTGCAGACACTATAGCCAGACACAAAGCCCTATGGCTGTGCAGAGCCCCACATGTTGGACCCTACAGATGTGCAGTGCAGACCCTACAGATAGCCTACTGCAGACCCACATAGTCACACACTGCCCCATGCACAGACCACTGTAGTAATTCACTATAGCCATGCAGGGACCTTGACAGCAAAGTAGAGATGCTCATAGCTGTATATGGCTCCATGCACAGAACCCTGTAGCCACACATCGCCCCATGTATTGAGCCCTATGGCAGTGCACAGACCCCCTATAGCTATGGGCAGACCCCTGCAGTTATGTAAGGACCCCAATACCCATGCACCCTGTGTGTACAGACTCCTATAGTGATGCAGGGATCTCCATAGCCACCCACTGACCCCTGTAGTAATGCACGGACACCCGTAGCAAGGCACAGATTCCTATAGCCATGCACAGAGCCCTGTAGTGATTCAGGGGTCCCTATACTGATGCACAGAGACACATAGCAGTGCAGGGACCCCTATAACAATGCAGGGAGCCCTACAGTCATGCACAGCCCCACAGGCAGAACCCCATAGCAATGTATGGACCCCCTGTAGTGATGCATAGACCTTATAGGGACACATGCACCCTATAGCAACACCCCCCCAAAGTGCCAATCCCCATACTGCGCCACGACACCACCCTCACCTGGAGTCTGTGGATCTAGCAGGTACGATGAAAGGAGCTGGAGGGACATGCAGAGGATGAGGGGCTGCACTCCATAGATCTCTGAACCCCATAACCCCTATAGACACTCTTTGCCCCACAGATCCCTTTATGTCCCACATATCCCTTTGCCACACAGAGGATCCCAAGTGTCCCATAGCTCTGCTGTGTGCCACATAGGGCCCCTGGGTGCCGCATAGACCATCAGTGTCCCGTAGATCCCTGTCCCCCCATAGATCTCTGTGCCTCACAGTTCCTCTCGGTGCTTCTTAGGTCATCTGTGCCCTTTAACCCCACTTGTACCCCACAGATCCCCACATCCAGAGAAACCCCGTCTACCACATAGTCCCCCTGTGCCCTATAGCCCTCACAGATTTCTGTGCGCCATAGACATCCTGTGCACCCCATAGCCCCCCGTACCCCCTTTCAGCCCCTCATATCCACATCCCACATCCCTTCTGTGCCCCACACCAGCTTGCGCTCTATCCACACCAACACCTATGCCAGCCCCGCAGCCCCACAGCCTTTATAGGCCATCCTGGGGTGGGGAGGGGAGGAGCATTCCTGAGGAGGGGGTGGCTGATAAGGGAGAGGGAGGGGGCAGGTCCCCCCCCTTCCCCAGTCCCACGGTGGCATCTCTCCAGTGACCCAGACAACCAGGACCCCCTATTCACCCCACAGGATGATTTGTGGGTCAGAGCTATAAGGAAGAGCAAGGGCTGCCCAGATCCCTTGGGTGGGGGGAATGTGGGGTGATCTATGGGGCATGAATGCCTGGGTCCCTTGTGTAGGAGGTGTCTATGGAGCCCAAACACGTGGGTCCCCTGTGTGTGGGGGGAAACTATGGAGCCCAGGCACCTGGGTCCCTTGTGTGTGTGTGCGATCTATGGGGACTGGACGCCTGGGTCCCTTGGTGGGAGATGTGATGATTCTGTGGGGCCCAGACTCCCGATCACTTGTTGGGGGGGGGGCGGGGGGGGGGGGAGGAAACTGTGGAGTCCAGACCCCTGGGTCCCTTGTGCATGGAGGAGATCTATGGGGCTAGGATGCCTGGGTCCTTTGTGTAGGGGGTGTCTGTGGGGCCTGGATGCCTGGGTCCCTGGCCAATGTCCTGTCACCCATGGGGTGGTGACAGCTCAACCCTGCCAGGTCTATATCTGAACACAGCAGGGAGGGGGGACAGATTGTTATCTTGTCCCCCCCTAGTGAGGCGCCGTTGGGCCGGCAGGGTTTGGGGGGTGGGGGGGTCTGGCAGCAGTCCCCGAACACGGTGTCTACTTTGTCATCAAGGAGGTGACAAGTATCCCCGCGAGGTGACACATTCCTACGGGTGGGGAGGTCCCCACCTCCCCATTGTGCCCCACAGATCCCCTTCCCTGTCCCATAGATCCTTTCCTCTGCCCCACAGAGCTCTTACAAAGCCCCGCAGGAGCCCCACAGAGCTGCAAAGAGTCTCCACAAAGCCCCCACAGAATCCCTATAGAGCCCCACAGAATCCACATAAAGCCCCATAGAGACACGCCTCCTCCTCCTTGGCCCGAGTTTGGCGGGGGAGGGGAACCGCCCGGACGCCGGAGTCCCCTGGGGTCTATCATGCGGCGCCGCCAGGACTGGAGGAGGGATGGGGCGACAGATGGACGGGGGAGGCGGGGCGGGGGGAGGAGATGGGGAGGGCAGTGGGACAGAGGTTTTGTGAGGGGGAAGAACAGGCGGGAGAAAGAGGGACAGTGGGACCTGGTGGGACGTGGAGAACCTGGAGGGACTAGGAGGCCATGGAGGAAGTGGAGGGATCATGGAGATAGAGGAGGCAGGACTGGTGGGCCAGGAGGTTGTGGGATGATGGATGGAAAGGACAGAGAGATGGAGGGACGTGGGACACAGTGTCAGTAGGGCATGGGAGGTGGGACATGGTGTGCAGTGAGACGGAGCAGCTGGTGTCCAGGGGAACACTGAGGCTAGGTTGGAGGAACATCAGCACCTGCAGCAAGAGAAGCTGCAACCTCAGAAGACAAGACATCCTCGAGGGGTTCACTCAGGCTCTGCTCCATATGCAGGGGACCCAGATGCTTCCCCCCGTCTCCTGGACCCCTCCCTCCCCAACCCCACATCCTCCCCTGGACATATCTCTCCCCACATGGACATAGGTTGGTGTGGGGCAGGTTGAGGTTGCGGAGCACCATGGGACAGGTTGAGATACACTGTGGAGCAGGTTGAGGTTAAGGTACACTCCATCGGTCACATTGTGTTGCACTGTGCAATTGGGTGTATCATGCTGTAGGGTGTGCTGGGTTGCACACTGGTAGGTGTTCTTGTGTAGGCTACATCCACCTTGTGGGCGCCATGTCATGAGGCAACCCCACCCTTCCCACACAAACTCAGCCCCACACAAACCCAGCCCCACGCAAAGTGCTGCTGCTCAATGCTTTTTATTGGCTGACCAAGGCTGGGGGACTGGGAGCAGGAGTGGAGCACTTGGAGGTCCAGGGAATACAGCTGGGAGTCCAGAGCTTCACTCCTCGTTGAGTCCCTTCTGATGCAGAATGAAAAAAATTGGAGTGTAAGCATGAGGGAATTGTGGGGCAGCCATGTGGCAGCCATGGGGCAGCTGTGGGGCAGGGAGAGGTCCCACCTTGGCTCCAATGTCACGGCTCTTGGCTCGCAACTTGTTGACCTGGGACTCAGCGATGTCGGCACGCTCCTCCGCCTCATCCAGCTCATGCTGTGCCTTGCGGAACTTGGCCAGGTTGGAGTTGGCTTGTTCCTCCTGGGAGACAGGGGCATCAGTGGTGCTCGACCTCAGTTCTGTCTGGCCTCCTGCCACCCTGCCAGCTGTCCCTCCATCTGGCTTTCTTATTGCTCCATTTGGCCCACTATAGACCCACCTGTCCCTTCAGCAATTCCATCTCCAGCCACCCAACATATACTCAACCAACCAACACTCTAATACCCCATCCATCCAACCTTCCACCCACTAAACCTACCTTCCTTCCTTTCATCCATCCATCCATCCATCCATCCATCCATCCATCCATCCATCCATCCAACATTCCACTCATTCAGCCTTCCTTCTGTACATCCATGCAGTCAGTCAGCCAAAATTTCATCATTCCTTCCACCACTCAACCTTCCACCCACCTGTCCAACATTTTATCTATGCGATCACCCATTCATTCCACATTCCAGCCAGCCAGCCATTCGTCCCACCATCATCTATCCAACCTTCCATCCACCCAAACATCCACTCAACTTTCTAGTCACCTGACCCACCAGCTATCCCACCACCCCCCCACCTCTCCCTTGGCCCACCTTCCTCAGTCCCTGACACCCCACTCCTTAAGAACACTAAGGTTCCCTGCTACTCCCTACGTCCTGTCTCAAACCCCAACCCCACACTCCCTTCTGGGGGTGGTCCCAAAGCTGCCCTCCACTGCTCACCGCCTCCTCTGCCTGTCGCTTGTAGGCCTTGACCTTCATCTGGAGCTTGTCCACCAGGTCCTGGAGCCGGACCAGGTTCTTGCGGTCCTCCTCTGTCTGTGGGGTGAGACATTTGTGGAGTAGGACCTGACCCCATCCATGCTTTGGATCACCACCAGAGCAGTGAGGGTCAGGAGAGAGTTAGAGACGATCCTGGGGAGTGGAGGCCCTCTGGTGGCCTCTGCTGTGGGGTAGAAGGTGGGGTGTCCGCTTGGGTGAAGGTGTAATTTTTTTGTCCCTGATGAGGTCTCATTTGAGATTTTGGGTCATGCAAAGATGCAGTGGATGCTGGGAGGTGGACTGGGTGGCTCCTGACCACCCAGTCTACCATGTTCTGCATCCCACAGCAGTATTGGACATAGAAGCAGTGGGTAGTCTAGTTCACCTGTGTTTCTCTGGCAAGTAGGTCAGCCATGTTGCAAGTCACATACAGCATCAGACATAAGGCCCTGTGGACACAGGGCTGGGGGATAACATCTAGGGCCACCTTGGGCAACCCACCTGATAG